TAAACTGAACAAGAGGATGGCCATCATTCATTTTGAGTTCAGCTTAAAATTTTCATTAACATTTTCAATTATTGTTTACCTATATTTCAAAATGATCTGGGGAATATTATTTGCAATTATGAGACCATCAATTTGGAAATTATTTTCTAGCATGGAAAATGTATAAAATTTTTTTAGATAAATATAGTTAAGCATTTTGCTATCTCTTAAAACAACCCATTGAAAAATGGCAACCATTCATTATCTAGCTATTATATTGTTTTTGTTGTGCAGGTATTTTAGGGAAATTAGATAGAGAGAGGCTACAAAAAATAGTGTCCTGTTTGGACAATGCTGCTTCATGGGAAAAACTATTTCACAATAATGTGCACATGCTGGAAACATTCCGAAATATTTTCTTAAAAAATACAAAATTATAATGCAGGATTGAATTCAGTATTGTTTCATCTGTTTATATTGTTTGGTGTGTTTTGTCTACTCAATTGAAACAAAATACTTCAACTTTTGGGGTTTTTTTTCCTTTGAAAAAACCCAAAAAACTGTCTATTAAGTGTTCTGAAATGTCAGCTTTTCCATTTGATTGAAGAAAACATTATTTACAAAATGTGAGAGCTTCTAGACAAGTAGAATTTCTGGTTTCCTGCCAAAGCTACCTATGAAGTCCCGTGTTCACAATAGTTTAAGATGCTAATATTGGAGTATTTCAGCTCATTCTCTCATGCTGTCATGACCAGGAACTGGCCAGTAATCACTTCAGCTGACAGTAAGTGTCTCCAAATAAGGAGAAATGGTCAAAGGCTGGGCAGGTTTCTAGATATCATCTTCTTTACTGGTCAAAATGGTTAAAACTTCCTTGAAAACAAATTTGTATCACTAGTATTTTTTCCCCAGTATCTTTGTTTTACTTCACCAAAATCTTGTAAACATATTTTTTTCTCTTTGTTATTTTTTTCTGGAACTTCTCAGATCTCTAATCACTTTTCTAATGTATTCCATTCCTATTTCTGCCACCAGGTTACTACATATCAGCTGTCAAGTCTTTTTTCCTTGAAAGTATTTGCACTATGTCTTATTTACAATGTGAGGAACATTATATAAAAATAGAAGAATGCAATAAATTCAGTGAAATAATTAATTTGCTGCTTTTTCTATTAGAAAATATTCCCTAACAGGACTCAATTTCTAAAATAACATCCCTCATTTTATTGGTAACTGTTATTTCTCACATACCTTATGGATGTTGTCATTCTATAATCTTAATCTAATGATTGGTCCCTATTTGCTTCTACTCAATTTTTCATCCCATGTAATGCACCAGATTAAAAAAAAGGGATTATGACTAACTTGTTTCTCAAGTTCTGGCAGCATTGCACAAACCAGAAAAAAGTTAGTGTCTGACAGCTGAAAGCAGTCTCTCAGAATCTCTAGGTTTTTCTGTGAATCCTTGTACTTTTCCTGATGCTTTCACCTCCTGCTTACACTAAAGAGACAAAGTGCCAATGATCCCTGGCTCCATTCATGTTCAAAGTTCATACTTATTAAGAATATGCATTATTTGGTGGAGTTCAGGCTTTTTGTGATACTTAGAGGCATTTCTTAGAAAATAAATTAATAACTTGATTTGCAATGCTCAACAGTAACATTTATTCCTTGCTCATAAAAATAACACAGTTACAGACAAAATTAATGGCACACACAGCTTAATTTTTTTTTCTTACTTCTCTTTCCTAAATTTCTTCCCTTTCTCCTAACTTCAAGTACCTGATAGTCCAAGCTCATTCTAAATCAAAACAATAGCATACCCACTTTCTCCAGCCTATGGATTATGTGTTCTCTCTTGTTTCAGCAATGTTGTCTGTCTAATCATGAATTTTTTAATAGAGTCAGACTGGCAAAACTCTGCAAAGAGAAAGCAGAAATGCTCCACTGTCTGAGGCACAGAAGGATGGTGCTGCCAGGCCAGCTTTTAAAACTTTATCCCAATTAAAAGGAAATATTAAATGTTGTACTTAATTTCAAATCCATATATTTCACTAGCATATTTTTCGTTTTACTCACTGTGAGTAAATAATCCATGCAGATGTTATAATAGAAATTCTGAGTAGCTTTTTGAAAAATCGCCTGCAATGTATTGAATTAGCAAGAGCTTAAAGTGTTTACAAAACTGAGTACACCGAGACTTTATTTAGAGACTCTTCTTTTTTCCAAGTTATCTCAGTAGCTACCTGATCTTGGTTATTGGCATCCATTTGGGATTTGCATTTTGTATTTGATATTTTGATATATTTGAAGGAAGAAAAAATCTAAACCTTACTTGATATGTTGTCTAAACACAGCGCATTCATTCTATATTCTAATCATCTAGCCATGAGAAATTATTTTTTTCTCATTTCATATGGACCAATAACTGATATGGAGAACTGTTATAATGCAGTTAAAACTGAACTTAGGTATTATCTCAACCAAGTCAACACAGCCAGCCAAAATACATAGAAGGAGGACTTCATCTTAAGAATCAGATAAACATAAAAAGAGTCAGAGCAGTCTAGCAGCTCAAGACAAGCATGTAGTATGTAGTTTTGTCAAATTGGAAATTAAGATCCCTGAATAATTAACAGATTGTAGTGGGCACAAGAAGAGTGTATTTGCATGTGATTGATGAAAAAAAAAATAGAAAACTGTATTCAGATTCTCATGCATTTAGAAAAGTTGAAAAGGTGGAGAAAAGACACTCAGAAATTCACAAGGATAACAGAAATATTTTACATTGACAGTGTTATAAAAATTCAATCTGTTTATCCTATCAAACAAATCTGGGGAGATAACGACAGTACAGAAGTCCCTTTTGATTAGTGACACAATGTAAGTATCTTTTTAACCATCTTTTTCATTCAGTCACTAATACATCTGCACATTCTCCACATCTGCAGTCATTTGCACAGCCCTGCTAGTAATCTACAGGGCAGATATAAAAAATTCAGAAGAGATGTTTCCCATTTGCATATTCCTTTACCACTATCCTGTTAATGATGCTGTTCCTTGGCCTCAAAAACAGAACTCAGACTGACAGTTTGAGGAAGACAGAGACAGTTGCAATGACAGCCTGGAAAGGGTGAACAATTAATGGCATGGGTAAACCTGATTTGTACTTCTATTTTTAAGCCTTTCATTAGACTATCTCAGGAAAATGTGTAATTAACAGCAAAACAATGATCAGGATTTGAAATCACTTATAGCAAATGACTGAAAAGACCAATTTCTCAGCAGAGCAAGCAGTCATTTCAGAAGTACTATAAACTGTTTGGACTCAGATCAATTTATATTTTAACTGCACAAGCCTAATAGGCTGCATTCATGCAGATAAAAGTAACTGTACAGTTACTCAGTGGTTCTATTGTGGAAGCTTTTACTTGAGACCTTCTTTGTAGTTTCTTTGCACTGTTGATACATAAATAAAAAATATTATATTAATAAATATCTAGGCAAACCTTGTTAGACAGACATATTTTATTCTATACTTCACGTTCACTTCTCTAAAACCTGTCTGTAAATCTGATACATTTGTTTAGGAGATTTTATCTAGATTTTGCAGACACCATCTCATAGTCAGCTTGAAACATAATTTTGTGAAGTGTGTGGGCTAAACTAACTGCTGTTTTGCCATTTGTAATCTCCCTCTACATAGACTATCTATGATTTTGCCAGAGGTAGAATAGCTGTATTTCATATCTACTTTTCACTTTCTCATTGCAAATAAAGGTCTAAATTAGTAGAGAAACAAACTATATGTGATCCAATTAAAAATCCTAGCAGAATTAGTGTAACTCATTTTTTTCTCCAGTACTTACCCAGGATGTACTTTTGTGTTGAAAACTTGCACAGCTGAACTGTTTCAAAGAATGGATCTGTTGTGATATCTTAGTATCTGGCTTGCCTGTGCTTTCATTGCAGTTATTCGTAATTCTTCCATTGCATCAGTGAACTACTCATTTACTTGAAACAGAGAAACCATAAGTGGATTAAATAAGTTTTCCATGTAGTAAAAAGCTCTGACCCCAAGGTGAAGCAGTTCCATGTTTCAGAGTAATGTTCAAGAGACCTTGGAAGAAGCAGATATGAAATTTCTGCTCATTCATGTTGACTTAAGTCCCAAAGTATAAAAAAAACCAAAAATCTATGAACATGTCAACAACATTTTATTCCAAATCTGCGCTTCTGTAATTTTGGAACTACTCATTTTTTTCAGCATAGGAAGAAAAATTAACATCACCCATAAGATCAGATGAACTGACTATAGCCTTTTAAAAACAAATGCAGAAGGTGCCTGTTGCATTCCAAATTCATTCAGCAATATGCAATCCACAAAATGTAAGCTTTCAATAAGATCTTTAATACAGGACTGGGTACAGATGGGCAGTAATAAGAAAGTAGCTCCCAAGTCGGCTGTGAAATCACCTCAGCATAATGTAGGCCATGATGTGCTAAGCACCTTTTAGATATATGTTAAACAGGAGCTGGGTGAGACCCAAAAATGTCATGTGCAGGTTGTTTATGACTTGAATGAAAGTGCTTGCAGGAGAGAAATTCATTTTATCATATCAATAGACCAGAGCTTCACTTCCTAAGGATAAAAATATATTAAAGAAAAAAAGGTACAAGCCCTCAAAGTCCCACAGATTTGGATTGTACTATTTTACATCACTTCATACATCTAACGTTCTTGAAGCAGAGGGGTTGTATGGAGCACAAGTTAGGGATTTCACTTTGAGGAGGTAGCCCCTTGTGAAAGAAATAAGGCTGTTGGTACTTAGCCAGTGCATTCACTGGACTTTGGCAGCATTAGCAAAATTATAGAGGAACTGTCAACTGAAATGGTGTCAATGGTGATAACACAAAAAGGAAGCAAAAAAAGGACCTGATACCAAAAGAGACATTTCAACTGCAATAATTAACAACTATTCATTTATTAGAAAAATATGGGAACAGTAAGATAGCAGTGATTCAAATGACTCTTAACAAAAGCTCAATTTAAATTTAAAGGTGAATCAGCAATGAACAGAGTCATGAGACAATCCACAACAGCTTGATTTAGACTTTAGACAAGTATCTCAAACTGTGCCCGAACATCAGAAGCTTTATTAAATTGGCATGGGATTTCTTCCAAGTCACGTGTATTTATCTGCTCTAGTATTCATAGCAGCCCTTCAGAGATAATTTTGATAAAGCTCTTGTACATGTTTCAAAAAGTAAAGATACAATTCTTACTTCATACAGTGGGAAATGATAAGGAACCTTCTTGAGTCTCCATGACATCTGCTGATATCAAACTTGCCATAGAACAGATTGGATATCTGTAAAGAAAATTAATACACAATCAAAAATAAGTGTCTAGCAACATCAGAATATCCATTGCTGATCTAGAGTCAAATCGGATGTAGTTCTCAAATTACTTCTTAAGTAAGTATTTTTAGTGATGTTTAACATTTAATAAGCAGATTTTCTGTGAACTAATGTGGCTTTATGAAGATTTATTTCTAAATGTATATTTTGGTTTATTTTAAAAAAAGGTCTCTTGAGGTGAATTTATTTTGCGATTAGATTCCACTCGACATCATACTGCTAGCAACTGCCTGCAAAGGAAGGGAATGTAAATTTATAACTGCAAGCCCATGCTATAGCAACACAAGGAAAACATCCAACCCATTATATTAGGAAGGCTATAAACAAAATCTCATCACAGCTAAATGTGCAACTGTCAAAAGCCGATGAACAGATGGGCTTTTCACAGCCCCACAGAGGTTAGCGCAGTTCGAAGCACTTATAGGGATTTGGGAAGGCTGGACAATGGTAACACCTTAGCACAAAATCTTCTGTGAAAAGCATTGAGGCAGAGAAGAGAATCATTTGGCCCAAGATCACCTAAACAATGAGGTGGTCATTCCCAGAGCTGGCCTTGGTATGTAACTGGGCATCAAGGCTTGTTGCTGAAACACAGTTTCTGTTACGACTGTCTTCTGTTGTAATATTTCCTTCTTGTCCATCCAACACTTGCAATTCTGAAATGTGAAATCACATCTCAGTCTTACGAGAGTTTTTATTCACAAACTTTAGAGAATTCTCTCTTTAAGGGAGACTTCATCCCTTGGATTCCATGCATGAAGTTAGGCAAAATTGTAATATTGAAAATCAATTTTCTCTTTGCAGCATTGACTAAAACTGGATGAGGCATGGTATTTTCTGGAAAGCCTTCAGTATTATCAGAAAACTGAAAGTTTTGACATTTGAGCCGAAGTTATTGCCCCTTATGCCTGAATGCTCTAGTAGCAAGCCGCTAGAGAAGTTTTCATTTAAACTTGTCCATTAGGCATGTTTTCTACTGGGACTTATCCATACCTGAGTCAAATTACTTTAATGCTATGTGCCACGAGAGAATCAAGTGACACAAACACAAATCATAAAGCCTTTAGAGGTTAAAATGCAAATTCAGTACTAGAAATCACATAATCCGATCTGTCTGTCTGTCTGTCTGCCTATCTATCTATCTATCTATCTATCTATCTATCTATCTATCTATCTCTATGTATATGTATATACACATACACACATGCATATATGTGTCTATATGTATATACACACACACACACACACACACACACACACACACACATATATATACAGGAAAACTGTCAGCTGGTTATTCCTCACTGAATAATAGTCTCCTGGTAATTTGATTATAGTCTAGGAGTGTGGGATCAAATTCAGAAAAAGAAAATAAACAAATTACTATTTTTAAAAATGAATTTGTCAAAGGTGTTAATTCCCCATCCTTCAAGAGATTGCAGTCTGACCCTTTCATAATGTGGTCAAGTATTTCTGATGGATTATGACACTTTAATTAATAAGCATCTTGCCTTAGGCAGAATTGTGAAACTGCATACTCTGTTGTCTTTTGGCTTCTTACAGATTCCCAACAAAAGCTGGGAGAAGATCCAGAACTGTCATCCATTTTGTCCATTATCAGTCATAAAGAAGAATCTCTGCAAAGTATTTTTCACAGGTCATGATGGGAGTTATCAATTATTCAGTATGTTTGAGTAGACTGGACATCCAAACACTGTCTCCTTTAGGAGAGTAAAATCCCTACCTCAGAGCTGAAAAATACCTTCTAGTAGCTTAAGCCAGCAATAAACTCCATTTCCTTTAGTCTTCCCTTCTTTGTACTGCTGTGTCTATGGGAGTTTCCTTGCCAGGAAAGAGTCAAGTAAAAGAAACTCACCAAATATCAAGACCTCAAACCTTGCATTCTCCTGACCATTTCTCTTCATTCCATAGGAGGGAAGTGCTGGAAAACTCTAGTGCTTTTGTCACGGAATTTATTACTATAATTCCTAAGGCTTTGGACTACACAGGGATCAATATGGTTATAGGGACAAAAAACATTCAGGCTCCAAACTTGAAATCTCACACAGTGAATGGAAGATGCTTTTTAGAACCAAAACAAAGGCAGGGAGGAAATCCATTTATATCACAAATATTCCCATACCATGGCTTTGAGTAATATGTCATATAGAAATGTGGGGAAGGGGCAGGGAAAGACTGCAGTATTTGAATGCTGCCTTTTAGTTTATTTGTATTGTATTGAAATATTTAAATATATATAAATCACTCTAATATTTTTCAGCATTTTACAACAAAGTCCAAGGTTCAAAGGCATAATGCTAAATATTAAAAAATAATTTTAACAAACTTTTAACCTTGCAAACTCATAAACAAAATAAAGATTCTAACCCACAAAAATATTCCCTTGAGGCTTTAGGACCAGTGAGAAGTGTAAGTACTGTGCCCAAAACTAGCAGTTTTCTAATCTGCATGAAGTCACAATAGATGTTTGACATCAGTACTAAATTAGTCACATCATGTATTCTGAAAATCTTTGAGATATCCATACAAATCATAATGAGCTAGATTCTGATGTGACCCGCAAACTGAAACCAGAGCATTTGAACAGTTCATCATATTAAGAGAAGGATGTATTTTTGCTTTACTTTCTTGTTTCTAAGAATGTCAAAAATGCATTTTTAGCACCTTTTTTTTCGGTTTAATGGAATTACACTCCTCTCAATATATGTAAAGGCAAAATAAATACCAAAGAACACAAAGCCCTAAATCTTCACACCAATGATCTGATTAGTTATAAACTGATAGAACCACATGTCTTTTTTAAACAACATTAAAACTATTCCAGCTATAACATGTAAAAGACTTCAAATGAGTTTCAGGTCCTATACTGGCTCTGAGTCCCACTGAAAATCTCATTAACTATATTTTCAATGAATTTGATCCATGAAGTCTGTTATAAATAGGCCCAGAAAAGTCATTTTCAGATGAAAGTGTTTCTCTTGATGTGATTAATTTTTAAGATGGGTCTCTGTAAGTGCAAAGCTTTCAAGTTACCAGAATCTTCTACAGCACACAAACCACTCCACATCTCCAAAGATTTATTTATTTTGAATTCTTTTTCCTTTCTTCCTAGCTGGTTTCATTTTCTTCACTAAAAGCTACTTTAAAGCCATACTTAAAAGTGTCAAAGTCCTGTCTTTTTAGTGACTCTTTTTCTTTCTGATATATTGCATTAAGCAGCACATTGGGAACACTTCAAATTGTTTTGGAACACAGAAATAATTTTTTCAGTGAGGAGTTAAAAATGTTAAGTTTTTACAAAAAATTAAGAGCCAAAATTCTTTACCTAACCCCAAAATGTTTCCTGAAGTACTCAAAACTGCCTTTCTTATGTCTTTTCTAATGATTTTTTATGTTAATTATATTGTAACCAATATAATTACAATACAATAATTAAATTGTAAACCAATTTTCTTCTCCTTTCTATAATTACAACATGCAGAAATTAATTATAGAATTTGACACATGTAAGCTAACCTTAATTATGTGTTTAGAAATGTTGACAGATATTTTGCATTTATAACTATTAGTAAATTTGTCTTTATTGAAGACCTCCCCAGACCAACACCTTCATCCTCTCTTCACCCCTGAATCACATTTCTTTTGGAATTTCACGCTACTCTATTCAGTTCCGCAGTGTCTCACAGCAACACCGAGCAGCCTTTCTCAGCCTGGACACACTCCCTTTTCACCCATCTGAATCTAAGGAAAAGGAGGGCTTTGATTCAATAAAATCAACATCAGGCAGAACCACAGAAAAGTAGTGATATTTACACTCTGTCTCTACCCTTCACTTTTAATGAGGAAATCCTCTCAGGAGCCTTTGTGGACACATACAGAGTAGGAGTTATTTTAACTTGTCTCTTGTATGACCGATGAGATATTACTCCTTCCCATGGCAGGGCACTCACTGTTAATTGTCTAGCTTGGTAGGATGCAGCCAAAGACTACAACAAACCTTCCTTTTCCTCAAGCGTCTCTTCTCCACCAAGTCTTTCCATAATGAAGCAGCCTCCCTCATTCCTGCCAGCTCTGATGCTCTGCTACAGCCGCCTCTGCACTGAACACGGGGGACCCTTGCTTTGCTGGACAAAAAACTTTGGCACTTTTTCAACAATTGTTTTAAAACTTTTCTGCTTGTTCTGCCTGATATTTACATTCACTCTTTATGAAATAGGAATGTATCTGTAAAGAAAATGTGCAGAGAAATATTGCCCATCTCCAAAAAGTACATGGAAAACACGCATGTCTGTAATCTCAGCAATGTGAACACTCAGAAAAAAGGATCTGCTTTTGAGACGAGGAAATCTACCTTGGGGTTGCATAAGTGCTCTCTATTCTTCTTGAGTACAGATAAACCAGAATGGGAGAGAATATCACTAAATTTTGTAAATACTGTCTCCACTAAACTTTTAAACCTTCTCTGAGAGAGTTGAATCTATCAGGGTTCTCTCCTCTGGGGCCTGCTTTGCCATCCTGAGAAGCATGAGAAAACAAAGATACCTCAGGAAATGTGGTTTGCTGGAGGAAAAAAGAAACCAAATGGCAGCCACTTCCATGTCCTTACAGTCTGCAAGACTAAACAATAGATATTTCTAGGTAGTTGAATTCGCTGTTTCCCACATTTGAGAAAACAATGACCAGAAAACTACTTTTAGTGAAATTGGGAAGGCCTGCATTATTTGAAAGGAGGAAAAAGGGCTCCAAACCTTAAATAGAAAGCTTGAAAAGAAAATAGTAGAGAAAAACCCATTTTTCTGTTATTACCTCAAGAGACTTTTTGTTTATTTATGACAAACTAATATACTGATCTATTCCCTTTTTTCACAATTTTTGCACAACATATATAGCCGGAGATCTCTAATTGGAAGGTATAAACAATAGCTAGTTT